CATTATACAGAAGGATGTTTGATGGACCATTGGCAATATGTTTAGGACCGATAGACATGGATTATGTTCTACGAGAAATTCACGAAGGTACTTGCGGAAACCATTCTGGCACTGAATCAGTGGTTCACAAATTCATCAGAGTGGGATACTACTGGGTCGATATGGAAAAGGACACTAACGAATTCGTTTGAAAATGCGACAAGTGCCAAAGACATGTACCGATGATCCACCAACCGGGAAAGCAACTTCATTCAGTCATATCCCTGTGGCCATTCATAAAATGGGGGATGGACATCGTCGGTCCTCTGTTATCAGCCCTAGGTAAAGCTAAATTCATTTTATTTATGGCTGGCTATTTCTATAAGTGGTTTGAAGCACATGCTTTCGAGAAAGTATAAGAAAAAGAAGTTATACACTTCATCTGGGATCGCATCATATACCGATTCAGGATACCCACCGAGATAGCATGCGACAATGGAAAGCAATTTATCGCCAGCAAAATAACAAAGTTCCTCGATGATCACAAAATAAAAAGGATAATTATCGACGTTGTACCATCCTAGCGGGAACGGCCAGTCCGAATCAACAAACAAGACCATCATTCAGAACCTAAATAAAAGGTTGAACGATACTAAGGGAAAGTGGAAAGAAATTTTGCCCGAAGTCCTTTGGGCATATCGAACGACGTCAAAATATAGTAGGGGGCAACACCGTTCTCCTTAGTATATGGTGTCGAAGCTCTAATCCCAGTCGAGGTCGGGGAACCTAGCGTCAGGTTTTGATACACAATGGAAGAGTCAAATCACGAGGCTATAAACAAAAGCCTCAAACTATTAGATGAAAAATGGGAGGTCGCCCTTGTTAGAATGACAGCACAAAAGCGGTGCATCGAAAGATACTGCAACCGAAGAGCCAATTTTCGCCACTTTCGAATCGGGGACCTAGGTCTGAGAAAAGCCACCCTCAATACTCGAGACCTAAACGAAGGGAAACTCTGCCCAAATTGGGAAGGGCCACATCAGGTCCTTGGTGTCATCGAAAAAGGATCTTACAAACTTGGCACAATGGACGGCGAACAATTACCAAATAATTGGAACATATCACTCCTCCAACGATATTATTGCTAAGGTATGACTTTCTCCCTTTTCATTTGTATTTGATACTAACTTATTGCAGGTGTTCGATAGAAGACGTTGAGAAATTCTTTAACACGAAGACCTTAGGTTTTAAAGCACGCATTGCACTCTTTTTCCGTTAGATCCATTTTTATCCCAAATGGGTTTTTTCGGCGAGGTTTTTAATGAGTCAACAATTATTTATGCTACCTGGGAACAACTCAACAGTATTCGAGGCTTCTTTACAATCAACCTCAAATACTGGGGGGCATCACCCTTGGATGTTATGAAAATACTTTGTATCAACAAGTCTCGATAGGTAACAGTTTGTAAAGGGCCAAACGATTGAAAGAACCGTATCCTTATAGATTATTTGAGCCCCGATGACAAAACATGTACGCATGAATGATCTATTGAAAGAAGTATTTTTCCTTACCAGATGTTCCATGCCTTAGTGAAATTTCTACTTTATAATTTTTAGTTTACATATGGTCTATTGCGAAAACTGGCTCAAGCGTCGATCGCAACTAAAGCTTGAGCAACCAAACCCATACTCGGGGACTGCTGTCCAAAAATCAACATGTTCGAACTATTAAACTTCGAGACCATAAGAACTTGAAAAGGCAATCCTCAGTTATAGGCCACGGCCATCCCACTCGGGGACTGGCACTTCGAACAACTTCGAAGTATTATTGAGAAACAAGCCCAAATGGCAGATCTCAAGTTAAAGGCTACAGCCAAACTAATATGATTTGGAGACGTTCGAATTCCGTAATAAAATAGGTCTTCAAATATTATTATAAAACTAGTTAAACAAGGCTACCCTCGGCAAAATTACAAACGGTTTCAATAACATCAACCCTCAAAAACCTTAAGGGGTACCAAATTGTTCGAACTCTCGAACAAACTTATGCTAAGGCATAAAAAAGTAAAGGATTTCGATAACTCTACACCTCGAGAATATTTATGGGTACAGAGTTATCTCGTGCTAAGGTATAATAAATTTTTATATGATTAAACTTTTTAAGCCGAAAAGGTAAGAAGCCACTCTTTTGAGACCATATCGGTCCAATTCAAGAGCCCAAGGGCCATTGTATTTTTGAGTTCGAGAATCCACCCTCACTCAATTAAAACCTAAAGGTTTGTCTACTTCAAATTTGAGCAAGTACTCACTCGATTATAGAGACTATACTAGACTGACTTCGATCAAGTCGCTTAAGTTTCGGGTTCACAAAAATTTTTTTGCAAGACAACGAAGCGAGTCAAAATCCTCACAAGATATAAAGTATATCAAAATTATCATAAGGCAAAAAGAAAAACAGAGTTTTCACAATTCACAAAACAGAAATTGGAGTCAAGCCGGAAAGAAAAGGGATCATTCATATATGCAAAGATATTTACAAAGACCACTCTGGATCTTACACAAAAAATCCAAAAAAGAAAAAAATCTAAGTGCCTAGTCTTCCCCTGAGAGCCTCATATTCATCTCCTCCACTCTCGGATCCACTCGAGCTCCCGGAACCATAATCATTAGAGAGTAAATCTTTGGCTTTGGCCTCCAACACTTTCGCATTCTCGATATCGACAGTAAGGTCAAAGACACGAGCATGAATCTCCTCGAGAGTCTATCTCCGAGACTGGAATATGGCATGCTCGGTAACGCAGAATGATCGAACCTGAGCAGCATCGGGAATTTCCTTTGCTCGAGCGTGAGTGGCTTTAGCATCATCTCGGTATATGGCCACGACTGCCTCCGCATCACCCTTTATACTTTCCGCCTCAGATGGCCTTTGCAAGCTTAGCAGCCAACCGAACCTCGAGCTCCTCAATTTTCTTAGCTCGAGCCAAGCTCTCCTCCTTGATGCTTTGGTGTTGACGTTCGGCCGAAGATAGCTGGGCTCGAGCAGTGTCTTTCTCCGAGGAAAGGTGGTCCATGTTTTGCTTCTACTCCAAGGTCTCTGCCTCCTTCATCTTGGTCTCCTCGCAAAGTTCCTCGATCTTTTCGGCCTTCTACTGAACTTGACAGATTGAAGTGATAGTCGTCATCTTCGAATTAATAAAATGAGCTTACAAAAAATTACATTACCTGCTCAATCAGGTCAGTTTCCTCTTTATGAGCCGTTGCCAATTCAGCTCTGAGGTCCTTGATCTCCTTTTCTTTTTACCCACTGAGAAGTTTGAGGGAATTTCTCTCCTCCTTGAGCCTTTTAAGATCAGCCTCACACTGGTTCAGCTCTGCCCAAGATTTAGAAAATGCTTCCCGATGAAGCATCAAGGCCTACGAAGAAATAAAGGAAATCAGGCAAGAGTAAATAAAGTCAAAAGTAGTGCTCGATGCATCACCCAGATTGGAAGCATCCTTGACCCCCGTGAAGCAACCATGGAAAAGGTCCTCCCCTTCGTGGGCCACTCCAACATCGGGGTCTCCATGGCCTAGGCCTCCTGAATTTGCCCCTCGAAAAATGTGGGAAGAGGCAGCGAATCATCACCATTTATTTCCCCAAGCATGTCACTTGGGGCATTCTCTTCATTTTGAAGGGCCTTAGAACTGTCCCCTTCAGGTACGTCCACCGATTGCCCATCACGGCGGGAGGCATCTTCTGCTTCTGATAACTCGGGGACTTTGTTCGGGCCACCCTCCGAGATATCCTCGGTCCGAGGCTGAACCTCTTCAATCATCACCGGCTCAGCGGCCTTAGGGACCTCGGTGCTCCTTTTTCGAGCCACCAGCTTGTAGTCAGTGTCTTCATTTTCCTCTTCTTCATCTCATAGCCGCTGAGATACATCGGTAGTCAAGGCAGTAGTGTCCTTTTTCGACTGCAAGCCTTGCTTTTCTTGGGCTTTGGAGTATCAGAGGGCGAGACCCTTTTTTCTCTTCTTCTCTTTCGACGACTTCGGGACCGGGGGTGGAACCTCCTCTTCCCAAGATGGTTGCGTGTTAGATCTAATTTTAATGATGAAAAAAATAATATATTTGCTCTTTGTATAGGAACTCTTGGATTGGCGAAATCAAACAGCAATGATCAAGGAACGTATGGATTGATATACAAGATTGATGGAATATATCAGAGGACATCAAGGATTAGAGACGCGATTAAAGGAATAAGGAATCAATCAGAGGATACTGACGAGATCAATCAAGGCTAAACTAAAGGAATCAAATAAATCAAGTATATTGAAGATCCTACCGAATATTCAATCAAGCGTCTAAATATGATAGATCAAGATTCTGGGCTCACACATAAGGAAAAGCTTTACAGCCTCTAATTCAAAGGAGCCGTTGCAGAATAACTTTATTTTTGGAAAGAATCAATCTCTTTCCAAGGATCAAATCTCTTGGGTTGGAAAATATTTCCAGAATTCAAGCCTCTCTCAAAGTATTTAAACTTGTAATCACACCTTATCATATATACTTTGATCGAACCAAACACCCTCTCTTTGTTTTAGTATAAACAAACATTGTAGTTCTCTAAGACCTGTTGTGTAACAAGTTAGAGAAGAAAGAGAGAACAACATTGGTGAGCATTGTATCATAAGAGACAAGTTACATAGGAATTGAGCTATCACATCGTTCTCATTGTACTCGAAAAAACTCATTCACTGAAAAGAACTCCCTTGTAACCCAAGGGGACTGGACTAGGATTCACATTGAATCAGAACCAGTATAAAATTTTTGGTATCTTTAATTCCTGCATTTAATTTAGCATCTTATATTCTGTTGTTACTGCTGTCAACTTATTACATCTAGTCGACTAATTGAAAAACTAGTCAACTATCAGCAATTAAGTTTAAAAATAAACAATTCAACCCCCCTCTTATACTTTTAATTGGTATCAGATCAAGACTCACATTTTTCTTTTGCTTAACAGCTTGTTAGAAAAGATCATGGCAAATCAAGTTATCGTAGGAGAACTCTTACAGGAAGGAACTTCGCAAGTAAGGCCACCATACTTCAATGGACAACATTTCTCCCACTGGAAAGTATGTATGGAGATACATGCAAAGGCATACGACATTATAGTTTGGAGAATCATCAAAAAGGGGAATTATCCTCTGTTAGCTGTCGCTCAACCACTTGCTGATCCTGAAGATACAAAGTCATATAGAAACAAGCAAATGACAGTGGTACAAGTCAATAATAAGTCAAGAAACTTGCTTTATATTGCTATAAGTGGTGAAGAGTATAAGAAAATCTCTAGCTGTGACACAGCCAAAGAGATGTGGGACAAGCTTGAAGTTACATACGAAGGAACTAACAAGGTAAAGGAAACACACATCAATATGTTGGTTCATAATTACGAACTCTTCCAAATGAAAGAAGGAGAGTCTACTGAAGAGATATTTTCCAGATTCAGCAAAATAATTAGCGATCTAAAGGCCTTCTACAAACCATATACAAGTGGTGATCAAGTCAGAAAAATTATCAGAAGTCTACCAACTACTTGGCAGACCAAAGTGGTCACACTTGAATCTCAAGATCTAAATAAGTTATCCTATGATGAACTACGAGGAAAACTCATAGATTTTGAAAAGACACATCTTAAAAAAACAAATCAAGAAGAAAAAAAGAAAATAGTCGCATTCAAGGCCACAACTGAAATAGCTGAACATGATATCGATAATGATATTGAAGCCCTTCAAGAAGAAATTGCTATGATGTCAAAAAACATGGATGGTTTAATGGGAAGATTTAGGAATACAAGGAGAGGAAGGATTCCACCTAGGCGATCCAGGCAATACAACGAACATGACAAGAATGATGGAAAATGCTACGAGTGTGGAAGATTTGGACACATTCAAGCTGAGTGCCCAGATCTAAAAAGGAAAATTTCCAGAGGCTTTAACAAGAACAAATCATTTGGAAGCTGGAGTGATCAAGACAGTTCAGAGCACGAGGAGATAGCAAATCTTTGCTTCATGAAAATTCTGGAAAACGAGATAAACAAATATTCATGATGCTGGATAGATGAGAACACTTCAGATGACGAATGCAAAGACAACAATGAGAATTGTTTCATGGCACGAGGTGAAACAAGCGAGGTAAGATCTTATAACTATGAAATATGCAATGAATTGTAGGATATTCTTGATGTAACTTTGAAAGAGTCTCAAAAAAGGATGAATGAGCTTAAGAGACTCAATAAAGAAGTAAAAGACTGGAAGCTCAAGCATGAAGTATGTGAAATTGAAAAAGAAGTACTTCAAGAAGAGTTTGAGGAATTGCAAATGCAACTCAATGGCATATGATTGCAGCCTACTCCATACCACTAATAAGTAGCGAGAGAGGGTCGCAATAGCTTTTACCCGATTTTGGGTCGGGATCGATTTCCACAAAGAGCTCGAAATGGAGTGGTGTATGTATTTAGCTTAGGATTGCGTAGAGTTCCAAATTGCACTTCTCATAAATTTTTGGGGTTTTCTTTTAATTCTACTTTTAACAAACTACAAATTGTAAATTAAGCTATGAGTTAAATGCTACGGGTTGTTCAAATAGTTAAAGGCACTAGGGTAGTGACATCCGCCTAGGTGGTCAATTGACGGGTACTTGAAACTGAGGCACAATTGACATGATTGGGGAGTATGATATTACCATTGCACTACTTTACCCACTCTACACCTCTCGGTGGTTCAAGTGATTTTGCCTAATTGACTTTTTCAAGACCAATTGGGATGCAAATTTGCACAAGCAACTTAGGGTTCAAGTCGGGTATTACTCTCTCGAGGTTACAAAAATTGATGGAGGAAGCGTTAAGTTTGGATATAACTCAAAAGGAAAGATAATCGGTACTGAAACAATTCCTTTTAATAACAACTGCGATATTACTGAAGTTTATCTCGTCAATGGACTTAACTACAATCTCTTGAGTATAAGTCAGTTATGCGACTCAGGATATGAGGTAAACTTTAAGAAAACAGGCTGTACTATTGAAGATGAGACAAGTAAAATAATCCTCCAAGGTAAAAGGTATGAAAATGTTTATATTTTTGATGGTTTTGAAAATATAGATGGTCACATTTGTTTGACATCCATGTCTAATGATCCATGGTTATGGCATAGAAAACTTGGTCATGCAAGCATGCATTTGATAGAAAAATTTTCCAAGCATGAGTTGGTTATTGGTCTGCCCAAACTGAATTTTTCTAGAACACATATCTGTGATGCCTGTCAAATAAGAAAACAAACTAGAAACTCTTTCAAAAATAAAGATATTGTATCTACTTCTAAACCTTTGCAATTGCTTCACATGGACTTATTTAGGCCTACTAGAACTGCCAGTCTAGGAGGAAAAAGATATGTTTTTGTTATTGTTGATGATTATTCACGTTTTACTTGGGTGATTTTCTTATCTCATAAAGATGAATCATTGAAAAATTTTGATATCTTCTGCAAAAAGGTTGAAAGAGAAAAGGGATATCTGATTGCAACAATCCAGAGTGATCATGGAGGAGAATTTGAAAGCAAAGCATTTGAAGACTTCTATAATGATCAAGGATATACTCATAACTTCTCTGCACCATGATCACCTCAACAAAATGGAGTTGTTGAAAGGAAAAACAGAACCCTTCAAGATATGGCAAGAACTATGTTACTAGATCATTCACTTCTAAATAATTTTTGGGTAGAAGGTGTAAGTACAGCATGTCACATTCTCAACCGATGTCTCATAAGGCCCATTCTAATGAAGACTCCCTATGAACTATGGAAAGGTAAACGTCCTAATATCAGTTACTTTTATCCATTCAGAAGTAAGTGTTTTATTCATAATAATGGTAAGGACAATCTTGGAAAATTCGATCTAAGAAGTGATGAAGGTATTTTTCTGGGCTACTCATTAAATAGTAGATCTTTTAGAGTCCATAATAAACGCACATTATGTGTGAAAGAATCTGTACATGTTATATTCAATAAAAAGAACCCCTTGTCCCAGAAAAGAATTATTACAGGTGATGAAGATCAAGCTCAAGAAATTCAGGAGACAAGCAAATCTCAAAAGTCGACTGATAAATCTGATGCTACGATAGAGTCAACTAATGAAATCAGCAATAGTGTATTAGATCATCCGAAGGAGTCAACTACTCATGCAGTTCGTCCAAATGAATGGAGAAGTGAACCTGAATATCCTCAAAAATTTATCATAGGAGATCCAAATAAAGTAATGAAAACCAGGGGAGCTCTCAAAAAGAAAGCAAATATGGCATTAATCTCTCAGGTTGAACCGAAGAAGATAGATGAAGCTTTAAAAGACTCAAGTTGGATACAAGCAATGCAGGAAGAGTTAGATCAATTTGGCAAAAATAAAGTATGGAAACTGATACCCAAACTTGAAAATGTTTCTGTAATTGGAACAAAGTGGGTTTTCAGAAATAAGTTGAATGAGGATGGAAAGGTTGTAAGGAACAAAGCCAGATTAGTTGCTAAAGGATATTCACAACAGGAAGGAGTCGACTATGACAAAACTTTTGCTCCAGTAGCTCGATTAGAGTCTATATGAATCCTTCTGGCATATGCATCGTTTAAAGGATTCAAGTAGTTTCAAATGGATGTCAAAAGTGCTTTCTTGAATGGATTTATTGAGGAAAAAGTATACGTGAAGCAACCTCATGTGTTTGTAGATTCGAAGTTTTCCTACCATGTATATAAGTTAACCAAAGCTCTATATGGACTAAAGCAAGCTCCACGAGCATGGTCTGATACACTTAGTTCATTTCTTATTGATCATGGTTTTACAAGAGGTAAAGTAGATACTACTCTATTTATTAAAATATCATCAGAAAGTAATCTCATTATTTAGATTTATGTTGATGATATTATATTTGGTAGCACTAACCCTCTTATGTGCAAGGAGTTTTCAAATCTTATGCAAAGTGAATTCGAAATGAGCATGATGAGAGAGCTAACATTTTTTCTTGGACTTCAAATCCAACAATTTGAAGAAGGAACATTTACATGTCAGACCAAATACACAAAGGAACTGTTTCAAAAATTTGTCATGAGCAATGCTAAAGACATTGGCACACCAATGAGTCCTTCAATGAGTCTTGACAAAGATGAATAGGGAATCCATGTTGATGAAATTAAGTATCGTGGAATGATTGGCTCACTTCTTTATCTAACTGCCAGTCGACCGGAAATTATGTTTAGTGTCTGTAAATGTGCCAGGTTTCAGTCAGCTCCTAAGGAATCATATCTGACTGCGGTAAAGAGAATCATTCGATATCTTATTGGAATTGTCTCTCATGGACTATGGTATCCTCGCTCTAATTCTTTTAAATTAGAAGGTTTTTGAGATGTTGATCTTGCAGGTGATAAGGAATATAGAAAAATCATAAGTGGTACATGTCAATTACTTGGAAAAGCATTGATATCCTGGAACAGTAAAAAACAAGCACCAGTTGCATTATCTACCACTGAAGCTGAATACATCGCTATTGGACAATATTGTGCACAATTATTATGGATGTCCCATCAACTTGGTGACCATGAACTTTCTTTTAAACCTATACCAATTTTCTGTGATAATTCTAGTGCTATATGTCTTTCTAAAAATCATCTTCATCATTCTAGGGAAAAAACATATAGATATCAAGCATCACTTCATTAGAGATCATGTTCTTAAGTGAAATATAGAAATATCTTTTGTTGGAACAACTGATCAATTAGCGGATATTTTTACCAAGCCTTTGTTAGAAGAGAGATTTTGTTCACTAAGAAAATTACTTGGCATTACTTGCATTAATAGTCAAAATTAGGACCTATGTGCCATTATTTACTTTTGTATGCAAAATATTCCATATCTGTTTTTTTCATTAATTACGCCTCCATTTTCCCCTCATTTTTCCTCCCTTTCACATCAGTCATAGAGTTCAAAAAAGGGAGACCAATCATCACGTCTGATCACTGCCGCATTTTCCTTTTCTGTACTCAACCGTCAGAAAACCCCTTTTTATGCTGAACTCTCTTATCAATCTCCATCGTCTCTATCGCCTTCAAACCCTTCTCTGAAATCTTGCTCAACTACCAACCTCCTACAATGGCTAAACAATCCAAAAATCCCTCTGCCTCCATTAGAAAGAGCACCCGCTCAAGGGCAAAACCCCCTTCTCAGCGCCCTGAACAAGTAGACCTAGGGTCTGATCACTCTGAGGGGTTTGCCTCTTCTTAGGAGGACTTCTCTGATCATTCTTAACCCTTAGGATAAAAAGACCTGGGTAAAAGACCCATGGAAGAACCCCATGTCTCCTCTACTCCAAAGAAATCAAAAGTCGACCTTTCCAGTTCTCTTGAGTCGGAACTCAATTTTTGGGATTCTCCCAATAGGGACTTCTTTCTTGCCCTAAAAGACAAGCCTATTGCTCATGGGAGGGTAGTCGACCTTGATGACATGGAAGACCTAAATTGAAAGGTAAAGGACCTTTACGTTTATCAAGGGTGATCGAAGTTCTTCTCTGTTCCCCCGCCTAAAGTTTATGAACCCCTAGTAAGAATGTTTTATGCCAATCTTTGTTCTAGTCGGTCTGATAAATTGGAGTCCTTAGTACTAGGAAAGCGTATTGTTTTTGACTGTGCCATGTTTGATTTGACTTTTCAGTGCAAGTGTTCTGGTTTCCCTATGCTCTTTAAAAATTCCTGACCCGATGATTTTGAAATTTCCTTTGATAAAGCCAAAGATGTATTGTTGAGTGTCCATCTGAATCCCTTCCAAACCAGCTAGGTCCTAGTGATGTTAGTTTTGAGACTCGTGTCCTAACCCATATTGTGGCAACCACTCTGCTTCCTCATACTAGTTCTTTTTCAACCTTCTCTCTACGAGACACTTTTCTAGTCTATTGCCTTGTGACCAAACTCAAAATCAAACTGTCCTCCTGGGTTATCAATTTCATAATTGAAAGTGCAGAAGATCCCACTAGTCTACCCTATGGAATCGCCATTACTTACATTATGGAAGCTCACAATATTTCCATCTCTGCATATTTCTTTACTTCTGTTTCAAAATCGTACAACTCCAAAGCCTTTGCAAGTATGGGGCATATGTGTGTGTGAAGGGTTCACGGGTCAAGAAACAAGAAAGTGATGTCAAAACTGCTCATACAGACTCCAAGCCTAAACCTTCTGCTTCCCATCCTAGCCATAGTGACTGTGACCTTGCTAAGAAACTTAGCGACATTGGCAATCATCTCTCTGCAATCAAAGATCTTCTTGTTGCCACTCAGTCCACTATTGGTACCATTCATGCTATCTCTAAAGAAATAGGGTCTGATGTCTCCAAGATATGGGTTGCGGTTCTCAAAGTAAGGGAAAACGCTATCAAGGCTTTCAAGGAGGTTCATGACAGGATTTATGGAATGAGTGTTTCAGCCAATGCCAGCTTTGATGGACTGAAGGAGGCCATCTGCAACACTCTTACCTATTTTCTATGTCGTTAATGTGGAAGTTTAAGACAATATTTTTGCTGTGCTATTTTTGGACTGAGATATCAGTCGGTGGTTAATTTCTCTTCTCTTTCTTTTGTTATGTTCTAACTCTGCCGGTACACTCTGATATGAATTCTGTTTATGCATGCCATTTTTTATTCCCTCTTTGCTGATGTCAAAAAGGGGGAGAAAGGATATATGTATCTCCTGCAGGTACTGTATTGTGTAGGTCTATAATAAGTCAACTATGGCACTCCTTGAGGGGGAGTCACAGATTTTGAAGAAGTCGACTACATACGCCTCAAATTACTCAGTACAAGTCAGAGTTAACTGCTCTTATTGAGGGGGAGCAAACTACAGGGGACTCAACTGATGTTTATGCATATATTATTTTATCATCATCAAAAAGGGGGAGATTGTTAGATCTAATTTTAATGATGAAAAAAAATAATATATTTTCTCTTTGTATAGGAACTCTTGGATTGGTGAAATCAAACAGCAATGATCAAGGAACGTATGGATTGATATACAAGATTGACGGAATATATCATAGGGCATCAAGGATAAGAGATGCGACTAAAGGAAGAAGGAATCAATCAGAGGATACTAACAAGATCAATCAAGGCTAAACTAAAGGAATCAAATAAATCAAGTATATTGAAGATCCTGCCGAATATTCAATCAAGCGTCTAAATATGGAAGATCAAGATTCTGGGCTCACATACAAGGAAAAGTTTTACAGCCTCTTATTCAAAGGAGCCGTTGCAAAACAACTTTATTCTTGGAAAGAATCAATCTCTTTCCAAGGATCAAATCTCTTGGATTAGCAAATCTTTCCAGAATTCAAGCCTCTCTCAAAGTAATTAAACTTGTAATCACACCTTAGCACATATACTTTGATCGAACCAAACACCCTCTCTTTGTTCTACTACAAACAAACATTGTAGCTCTCTAAGACCTGCTGCGTAACAAGTTAGAGAAGAAAGAGAGAACAACACTGGTGAGGCATTGTATCAAAAGAGACAAGTGACATAGGAACTGAGCTATCACACCATTCTCATTGTACTTGAAGAAACTCATTCACTGAAAATACTCCCCTGTAACCCAAGGGGACTGGACTAGGATTCACATTAAATCCGAACCAATATAAAAATTCTGGTGTCTTTAATTCCTGCATTTAATTTTAGCATCTTAAATTCTGTTGTTACTGCTGTCAACTTATTACATCTAGTCGACTAATTGAAAAACCAGTCAACTATCAGCAATTAAGTTTAAAAATAAATAATTCACTCCCCCCTCTTGTACTTTCAGGTGCCCTCATGATAGCATTGTCCCCGAGACCTGTATGACAGGAAATCAAGTAGAAATAAAAGAGAGGCATTTCAGAGAAGAGCGTCAAACACATGAAAAGAAACTTACCATAATTTTTGCCCTCCCATCGGCCCCTTTCCAAATCACGCCACAAGCGCTCAGCATATGAAAGAGTCGATACCAGTTTCCGAACCTAGCCCTCAAGATTTGGAATTGCATCAGGCACCCAAGAGACCGCTGCATCATAGGAAGGAATATCGATGAGAAAAAAGCAAAAGGAACGAAATAGTAAATGGAGGTCAAGGGAGGGGTTTGTACTTATGCTTCATGTTCCACTCTTCGGGGAATGGCATCTTCTCGGCCGGGATTATGTCGGAAGTCCTCACTCGGACAAACCGGCCCATCCATCCCCAGCCCTTGTCCTTGTCAATGCTCGAGAATAATACCTTGGTGGCCCGATGCTGAAGCCTTATTAATCCACCTCCATAAAGACGGGGCCTGTACAGTCTAATGAGATGGTTAAGGGTAAAATACATCTCTTCGACTTTGCTCATGAAGAATAGAAGCAAAATGACGATATGCCAGAAAGAAGGGTGGATCTGGCCTAGGGTTATTCGATATTGGCGGTAGAAGTCGAGGATAACATGATCAATGGGACCCAGCATAAAAGTGTAAGTGTAAACATTTAAGAACCCTTCTACGTAAGTAGTGATGTCCTCTTTGGGGGTCGGAATCACCGCCTCCTTGTTTTCCCAATGGCAATCTTTTTTCACCTGCTCAAGATCGCCCTATCGAGCATACGTATCTCGATATTGGCTCACATCGGCCAGGGACCGACGAGATTTTCTCAACTTTAAAATCGGAAGTAAGATCGCACGACCCAGGAACACACTCTTCGATGCATGGCTCCATCGGTATTTTATCGCCGGCCGGCCGCGATGAAAAATCTTTTTCCTTTTGAAAAATGGTTTTTGATGTTTTCACCATTTTTATATGAGTTTAGAGAAAGAAGAAGATGAAACTTGTTGTTTTAAGAAAAGATTGGCAAATGGGATTCGAAGAACTTGCAGAATTGATAAGCTTGAAGGAAGTAGAAGAGTTTTTGAAGATTGGAAGAAATTTTGAAAGTAAAGTTTGAGAAAATTATAAAGATGATCTATTTATAATGTTTGCTATGACGGTTTGGAGATACTAGTGGCCAACCATCGACTGACGATCATTAATGACTTTGGGAACTGTACCAACGCGACGCTTCAGTTGCTTCCATCGCTTACATCACGAGGATGACGTCATAATCGGTCGAGGTACAAATCGAAGGCTCGGTTCGTTTCTTCTCATTACACTCCAAGAAATGAGGGGACTATCTGTATACGGTTAAAATCGGGCTTGCCCGATTTTGCCATTTAATCGAGACCAGGGAACCACATCAAAGATCATCCTCGTAATGGATTGGGCCAGAGCACGAAGACAAGGTATCGAGTTCAAGAATCGAGGTGCCCGTCGAGATCGAGGCTATCAGCTATCGAGACCTAATATGATCGACTTCAAGCGAAGCGCACTAACGGAAAGGCAAAATATCTGTAACTGGTCGAAGATCACGGCGAAAATTCCGGAACAGATCAAATCAAGGGCGGTTATTTAGGCCAATCATGGGATTTACTTCTGTAATTAGAATTATACCATAATTAGGATTCCTCTACTATATAAAGAGGAATCCTCATCATTTGTACGGACCTTACATTCACACAGATCAAAGCAATATAATATTCTCTCTTTAACACACGTTCTCTTGTTCATCAGTTTGCTGCTTTTTAACTGTTCTTGCTCTACTAGCTCGAGAGTATTCCAACTCGAGGGCTTTGTTCAAACACTGGTTTGCTTTATATTATTGTCAATCTCTATCACTTATCTTTACGTTAATCAATTGGTATTAGGTGAGATCACATATTCTTAAAACCATATTTTAAGTTTAATTGTTATCCAATTTTTAGGGTAAACAATAAGCTTTCCTTGCTTTCTTGTTTTTGTAAATTCTCCACATCCATATTATATTTCCATCATCATGACATGAATTGACGACGCGGCACATTTTGTTGGCAATAGTTGTTTAATGCACGAATAGACTTGGTGTAACAAATGGGAAATTTTCACAGTATGCTAGTTTACAAATTAACCAATATGTTCCACAGAGGAAAGCTTAGCTTTGTTGAATAAGTTTTACTAAGATTATCATATAATACGTTCTTCACACGATAAAGAATTTCAAAGTTTTAAATTTTTTTAATTTTTCTGTTATAATGTGCTAAAATCTTTGTTATCGCATTATATCGAATTCTCAATTTTAGCTCTCTTGCACGCGCCAATAGTAATAACTATTTCACTACAATAATTTATATAATAATATGTTTAATGTACATGAATTCCCGCTAAGCATCTATGTTTAAATGGTTAAAGTGTCAAAACAGCTATAATTGCTGAATTCATAAGTTCTATTCCTACTAGATGCAACCCAGTGAGAGCCTTCATTAAGTTTATTGGAATTGGCTATCCGAATAATAGTTTCTAATTTCCATAATATTTCATATTTATCTAAGTTTTGTGTATTATTTTTAAAAAATATAAAACCGCGTTTAGTTAGCAGTAGAAATAGAAGGTTCTGACTCCATGTCAGTCGCCTTTTAAAGCAGTGATTCTAGCAACCTAGTTGATAGATAGTACTGCTAAGTACCAATTCTTGTAATTTTTACTGTACACAACAATTAATTTTTCTTTTCTTTTTTTAATTCTAAGAAAACATAAATGCTTATGAACTTTTAGCAAAGCCAATTGTAGGGACTTATTGAGAATTTCATTTGTGACAAACAAAAAAAAAAGATATGATAATTAATTTGCTTGGTGATCACATTATTTGGTGTGAAGTTGAACTTGATCAGTAACCTCTTTGATTCTGTTGAATAAAGGAAATCTGTCAATTCAACCCTTTAAGATAATGTTAATAATTGCTAATGGTTGAAGTATAGATAATTCTTCTTTGCAGAAAATGCAGAAGTCATAAGCTCTTTGGAGAAGCCGTTGTATTTGTTCTTCTTTTTAGCTAAGCAAATCTCTGCTATTTTATTGAACATCTCATGCTTCTTTACAAAGGGTTGAGCTGCATATTCCTCCATATCCATCCACTGCGAATATTAAAAAGTGAATAAGACTATCAAAATAAGAAATCTTTTAGCATAAATAAAGACTTAAAATCTTGTTTAATAATCTTAATAAAAGCCAATCATATATTATTTCACCTACAAAATCTCCCCACTCCAAAAAACTAAAACTAATTAATCTTTTTCCATGGTCAAGACATATAGATGAATAATTAGACCACCATGTCAATTAAAAAACAACAACAACTGCGCCTCAGTCATTATCATAGGCAAGTTGGGTCGACTATATGAATCTTCACTTTTGTTTCTTTAAACTCAACTCATATCATTATCATACACCACCATGTCAATTTGAGTTAGAACAATTTAAGGAAAATTCAGCCGCAATTGGTAATAGAAAGTCGCACCTGTGCTCCCTTAATTTCAGAATCTTGCTTCTGGATTTTATAAGAGAGTGGGTTCAACATGCAAACAAAGAACAAATCGGACTTCCCGAAGAATGATTTATGGCTTTGCCTGTAATAAAATTAAATCTAAGTCTTAGTGCCAAAACAGAAGTAATTCTGCTTTGATCTGAAAAAAAAAAACCCTAGTACTGGAAATGTTCCTATATATTACCTGAATGCAAGTAACTCTATAAATTCTGCTTTGATCTGCAAATCATAATATAACGCCAAAAAGTTTTTTTAAAATGAAATTATGAAAATATAGTTAGATACTTATATATATTGGCTTAACATCAAGCTTTAGTATTGAACTTACTCCGGTTTCTTCTTGCACTTCTCTTACAGCAGCAACACATATATCTTCCCCCTGTTGTTTGGAAGATTTTGATTTTGTGAGAATTTTGTTGCAATTTATTACGAATAAATAGGAAAAGGATTCGAAATCGTCATTCACCTCATCAACAACACCAGTAGGCATTTTCCAAACCCCTGTGCCCTTGAATGCCCCATTTTTTTCCTGGACTACTAGTACCTGATATATGTCATGTATTTATTAGAATGTAAAGTTGGTAAACATCTTAAAAAATAAAACCCATTAAATAACATCCCCCTTCCATTGCAAATTTTATTTGTTTGACAAACTGTTGACTTTTAGAAACAACAAGAAGCATTGTATTACTTGTGACATACATGTAAGAGAGAGATAAAATGCAGATAGCTTAGACAAATATTATTATAATTAAAATTATGTCTTTTGTAAGGGGTGTAAAAGACAGATATTATGATGGAGGAGTCGGAGGCAGTATAATATACCTCTCCATTATCATTCATGACAAGAGCTCCAATACCAACTCTGTGAGAAGCATTAGCAGGAATAGTATGAGGAATTTCAGGAATCCAATATACAAGCATCAAATATGTTGGCTCTGCGTGGTGATACCAAAATCCTTCCTGCATTTCATTAAAAAATAAGTAACACAAATAATTCATCAATGTTTATTATATATATTGCGAGCTAAAGGAACTTGTTTAATTTTATTTTACCTTAACTGCAGCATTAACTAGGTTGGCATGGTCTATAGGCAATTTAATCCAAACACCCCTCTTTCCCTGCAACAAAAAATAATACAATAGAAATATTGTCACACCAAAACTCTGTCCATTTTATTTGAAACAGGAAGAGGAATAACAAGTATAAGAGGATCCACATTTATAGTGTGGAAGCACCCACTGCATCCAACTCGAACTTTATATATTTCTACAATTGAAAATTTTAGAGCATATACATTAATTATATTATGTGTCCAAGCATTGTATTACAAAAGAAATTATAAGCGAGTATGCTGATATTCTGCATCCATTGGTTTACAATATATCTTAATTAGATCTTGCTTCTTGTTGATGGATCTGGTCTTGTCGAACAAGTTCGGATTCGAGGTTCGAACACAAAAGCCCACTAGCCGAGCTAAACTGGTTAGTGGGGGCAGGAGTGGAATTAAAGAGCGCTTCGCGAAAGAATCGTGTGGCGCGGTGAAAGATTTTCCGTTGGGGTTTTCGACCCTCCAGGTCTCCACAAGTGATGTCCTCTCTCATGTGTCGTCTAATGGTCAATAAAGTGAGTTGAAAAGTACGAGGTCTCATGTTCAATTCAGCTAATAAAGAAAAAAACATTAGGAGATTCCTTTCCATTTATTGAAGCATTGGGAGAGAAAGTTATATGGTACCTATACTAGTGGGAGGTAGCAGGTATCCCATGAAATTAGTCAGTGTCCAAAAAGACGAGTGATTTTCTCTTCTGATTTTTCTGTTGAATCTCTAGTAAGTTACACCATTTAGAAAAGAAGGAGAAGGATAAATCTTTTTTTTTTTTATTTTCTGTAAGAGAAGAAGAAGATAAGAAACCTGTATTCTCCATTGTGATATTGAAGCTCTAAGCATAGTAACGAAGTGGTTAGAATCCATTGGCTCATTGATTTGGACCTTCACACCGTCATATGCATCTTCATCTGCCTCAAAAACTCCATTAATTTCTAACAGATTCGCCATCTCTTGGTAGCCGAAACTTATCTGAATAATATGAAATTTCTCTTGCAACTTTAAGAAGAATTAAAGCTCCATATTTCTATATGTTTAAGGATGACAAAAACGAATGGCACATGAAGAATAAAGCTGAACATGCACTTTTATCTTTTGAATAGTTCTCGAATAAAATGAATTGTACAGAAAATAATAAAATAATGGAAAAGTAGTGATTGGTATATATAGTAACTCTAAAAGCGCATTACTTAAGATTTAAGTTTAATCAGAATAAGAAGTGTTCAATCAAATCAATATATCCGTTTTACAAAGATTGAGATGTGGAATATTACATTTTCGGTCACATAAGTTTTGACAATGGTGCACCCGCTTCAAAAAAAAAATTATATATATATATATA